CCATCACAGGGTCAAACTGCAAACCTGCAAATCTGCACGGACATTTTAAGAATGGACAGAATCCAATGGAGAGTTTGTCTTGTCAGCTGATGGAACCCCACAAAGTTGCCTTCAGACTATTGAATCCGTTTTATTTCTAATTAAAACAGATGCTGACTTCCTTCCTTACAGTGCGTTTGCTCAAATATTGACGTATGTTCTGCTAAACACTTAACTATACATAGCTAAATACATACGCAGGCACGTATATACCTATGCATATATACACACGTACACACACTTGAAATTCATTTTCGTTCTTTATCGGGGCTCCCTCAAAACAATCAAAGATGACCTTTGGCAAATGACTTATACCCCCATCTCATCATATCTGGGTTTTTCTTATTCTGATACGAGTGGTTATACCTTCCAGAGGCCTGCTTCAGGTGTGGATTGGATTTTACCTTGTGTTATTTCCATGGGCAAAACCGGAACGATGCTGTACCTCCCTCCATTCTCCCCAAATTGGAAAACAGAAGGAAAAATAAATCTCTCCGAATGTGTTCTCTTAATACCACAACGATGACCGTTTTTGTTCATTTTTTTCCAGTATAATTTGTAGACTGCTTTGTTTCACCTAACATTATTTCGTAAGTGTTTTTCTATGATACTAAATAATCTCTATAATTATCCTTTTAATGGCCACCCAGAGTGAATGTAAACCATAATTTACTTAACTGTTTACCTATTGTTAGCCATTTAGTTGCTTCCATTTTTCACTTATTTAAGTTGGAATGCACATTTTCATATCAGCCATTAATTTAAAGCAGCATGCAGAGATGGCTCTCCATCACTAATCTAAAAATGCAGGGTTTATATATTTACAACTCACATTTGATTATGAAATTTAATTTGAGGGTAATTAAGACATTTATATTCCAAACAGCTCCTCGACATCTAGCTCTCTCGAGCCAAACAGGCACAACCATGACTAGCCATTTTCACCTCAAGACAGCACAGTCCAATGAGTTCTAAAACACAATTTTCTTATGAAAAATAAACTTTATGAACTCCTACTGCTTTAGAGCCAAGAGATTACCTCCCTGAACCAGAGTCCGTGGTTCTCTAGGGTGACCCAGCCGAGGCAAGCCATCGTGAAGAATGCTATTGTGGCTTCATGCTCAGTCTAGAATTCAAGGCAACCCTCGCTCAGTGCTCCCACACCTGCTGTGTTACTGGAACTACCTGGAGGTCCTTGCCTAACCGGCACCCAGATACACTGTGGGAACAAGATAAGGACATTGCTCAGATGAGTTTCAGTTGTTTGATGCTTTTAAAGTTTATCATGGATCACTTCAAGTTACAGAGTTTCTTGAGCAAGAGTAGTGGGTTAGCGCATGTGATTCAAACGGATTCAGCCGTTTCAATGGGTGTGGCCTACTAGTCATGCGACTCTGAGCAAGATGCAAAAAAACAAAACAAAACAAAATCGTGTGCCTCAGTTTCTCAATCTGCAGTATGAGGATATGAATAGTGGCTGCCTTGTAAGGATATGATGAGGATCAAATCTAGAAAACGCAACTGCTATGCATAGGGGAATGCTGACATTTGATTAGCATATAGGAGCACTTAACTACATGCTTACTGAATGTTAACGCTACACTGTAACGTATGTACATTCACTTGCTGAATAAATGCATGAAAGCATGATGAATGGAGTAGTGTGGGAGAAGGTTCCACTTGTCTCAGGGACAGTCCTTTGTAGAATGCCCCATTTCCTTTCATAACAAAATCATTTTCTTAATGGTAATCACTGTAAGCCTTACCCTCCACCCCCAATAAAGAGCAAATGAACACCCTGAAAAGATGTGGCCACCTTAGTAATTCTTAATGTCCAGAAATTCAGTTTTAAAGCTTTAGAAAATGTCATCCAGCCATCAGAAAGAACTCATAGCCTCATTTGAAGCCAAAATAAACCAGTCGCAAAAATTCCTTGGTGTTTTCCCTATCAGGGAATAAGAACAACTCAATTACTATTCCTGTTTGTTTTCTTTTTAAGTCAGCAATAACAAACTAAACGGATTAAAAATCCGAAGTATTACCATCATTTTTTTTTTTACTAACAACAAGATGATTTTTATGTACTAGCAACTCTCTATAAAACAGAGAAGAGCTTAGAATTTTTTATTATTATTTGGCCACTGGCAATTAATTCTTCTGATGTGTTGTATTAGTTTGATGGTTGGGTCCAAGACCTAGAATATTTCTTACCCCAGCCAACGGATGCCAGAAAAT